GCTGGAGTAGCATCGGTGCGGAGGACACCGGTGGCGCGTCCACCATCCCTACCCCTCGCCCAATCAGCATCCCGCCGCCGCTGCCGGCACTCTGTCTCGCCGCTGACGTCGCCGCCGCCGTCGACGATGCCGTCACCGACATCGTCTTCGTCGGCCAGCCGCCGGTGATCATCGCATTTCTCAGATGCGACATGTTTAGTTATCTCCTTCTCTTCTTCCTTATCCTTTTGACTCTTTCTCTCTTTTCCTCGACGAAAGGGAACTTGCGGCACCGCTCTTTTTCTCTCTCTCTCTCTCTCTCTCTCTCTCTCTCTCTCTCTCTCTCTTTCGTTTATCACTCGCTGATTAATCAGCGTCCGCTTTTTCCCCTTCGTCTGCGTTTTCTTCTACCTCGCGTCGCTCATCGCCGCACAAAATTCCTCCGAAGCGGATCTAGCTCCGGTGCGGCCAATTCTTCTGCTCTTCGATTTTGCGAAAACTGCAAACTGCAATACGCGTGGCGGGATGCGCACGCGCGCGCGCGCGTGCAGAATCGAGGCGAGTTGAATGAGAATCGCGGAATACGAAATTATGCACGCAACGCACGCACCGCGTCGCTCGACGTTGCTTGTTCGATGCCCAGCGATTGCAGCGAATACTGAGTGCAAGGGGCGGTGGGGAGGTAGAAGAAAACAGCGGGGAGATTTAACGATGTTAACGACGATACGAAGTTCGATCCAAGTAGCACGCCACCTGGGGACGCGCCGACGATGTCGACGATCCAAGTGACAGAGGATGACCCGCGTAAATACGAATGGGTAAAGCGACTCGTTCTGCTGAAAAAAGAGACAGAAAAAAAGAATTTGAATACTTGGGCGATTTAAATTAAATTTTACCAATGTAAGGTTAACTTTAATTTCGATTTAACCTCCCAAGGAACACAAAAAAGTCAATAAAAAATCAAAATTTTTTATTTTGGTTTTTAATGATCAATAGTTAAATTTTGTAATAAAAAAATCATCATTTTCGTGACATTAAAATAATCATTTTGTGTTTCTTGGGGTACTGTTTATCTTTATTTAATTCTAAAAATTAGGAAAAGAAAAGAAAAATCTTGATTTTAATTCTTAGAATTAGGAAAAGATAAAGAGTAAAAAAAAAGGTAAAGAGTAAAAAAAAAAAAAACGAGAAAGTTAAGTTTCTACATTAGTAAAAATGGATATAAGAGTACGTTTATATTGGAGCAATAATAGATATAAAAGAGATAATCAACATAAGAGATAATCAAATTTATCTTTCTCCTTGATATGTTTGTAATAGAATTGTGATATAATTCTAGCTATATATTTACTGAAATGAATCATTTCCAAAAATGATGAAGAATTACTATTATCTTTAAATACTGCAAAATGATAAGTTGGAAAATCTCTATCTAAAAAATAAACATTTTGCACGTCCCATTAATATCAAATAATGGACGAGGAAGTGACATTATCCTTGTAAATATGATCCCTCTTAATATTTCCGCTATTAAATAGAGAATTCTCTAATTATTATGAAATTATTTTTCAACACCATGGCGTTAATATACTAATAGCCAATATTTATTATACCGTATTTATATTTTCAATATTTCGAAACGGTTTTTTCTCTCTTAAGGTATATTTTAGCAGCATTTTAATAATTATTAAGTATACAAAATAACAATAATAATTTACATAAGATAGATGTGCACACAAAAAATATTATAAAGGTATCAGCAAAATTACTACTTTTATGCCTATCAGAGATTAAAGGAAGGAAATACAATAAAATAATATGATATAATTATTAAAAACAGATAAAATATGTGAACAAAATAAAACATGGCAAATATGATAAACCGAACGTAAAAAACAAACAAATGTAGCATATATGAAACGTAAATAAATGTGATATAGAGTATAAGCAAATAGAATGATTCTCTGAGCCTTCAAATGACAGTATATTTCCAGTAAACACAGAATATAACTGCTGTACAACATACATTTTTAAGTATATTCATATAAAATATATTATTTAATATCTATGTAATATGACAGTTATATTCAGTGTTTGATGGGAATTTTTTCGAAATCATACTTGAGATGATTTTAAACGTAACATCGGATTACTGTACACAAAATAAAATTAAATGAGAGAGAAAGATGATTATTATTTGAAAACCTTATTTGAAGGCTCTCTGATTTTTAATTCATGACATCTTAAAGACTTAAACACAATGCGAAGGCAACAGCAATAACGATTGAAATAACGATAGCAATAGCGATAGCGAAAGGAACAGTGGAATCCAACATACGAATGTATATGTCAAACTATTGTTAAAATATTCCATTGTCGTATGATGCCATTGGATTCCTCTGTTCCTATCCGCTATCGCTATTGCTATTACTATTTTTATCGCTATCGCTGTTGTCTTCGCATTGTGTTTAGACCTTAAGACTGTACTTATATATGTATAAGACAATTTCAAATATAGAAGAACCGACTATGAATACTGGCCATACTCTCGGAATCCTTGACTCGTCTGTTCTTCGATAATAACGTTGAATAGGAGCTGTGTTACTACACTACTACTACTACTACTATTTTGTGATAACAGATCCCACAATAATTACTTCAAGTGTGAAATTGTCAGAAAGTTACACCAAAAATTTTTGTAGAATCGCAGAAATGAGTTTTGCGATGACTGGATCGTCTTTCTGAAAATCAACTTCCAAGTGAATGAGCGATTCGCAAAATGCGCTTGCGCATGTTGTCTGAATTTTTCATTTGATACTTTTCCACAAATCGAGAATCGACAACTTTTTGAAATCAGTTTCAAAGTGAATTCAAAGAGTGAAAGAACAGCGATAAAATTATTTAATCATGATTTTTGTGTGATTCCTCGGACATAAATCGCATAAAATTTTATATTATATAAATGTATATATAATAAAAAATAAATAAGAAAAAAGCTAGTATGAATAAATTGTGATAATAATATTTTAAAATGTAAATAATATATATGTATAATTAACATAAAATAAGTAAGAAAAAGAACTAGTATGAATAAATTTTGATAATAATATTTTTAAATATAAATTCTAAATACATTTTTTAGTTATATAAACTATCGAAACATAATCATAAAGTTAGAAATAGTAATATCACAATTATAAATTGATTTGTCGATTTGATATTATAATGCTCTCTTATTAAAACTCTGTGAAGAACTTATACATATAACTGAAAAATATAATTAAAATTTATATTTACAAACATGATTATAGTTTCCAAAATCTCGATCATATTAGCTTTTCTCTATTTATTTGAATTATTCATATAGCGGTCTAAATTAACTTATTGCAATATATTATTATAAAATATTATTATTTAGACATATATTTTATTAGATTTGTACACGTAATGTATTTTGTGGTGCACATTTCGGACAAATATGTTAACTTATCGAAACGTAGAAATAAATTTTGCTCTTAGCGCAATCAGAATTATCATTCAGAAAATCCGGATCACCAAGATCATGATCTTTATACTATGAACCTCGAAACAGATGATGCAAGCCTCTTTGTGACTTTATCTCATGTTTAGTTGATACAAATCGCAAATAACAAGACGCGCTACGCGTCATCCATGACGAAAATAATCTGCCACGGTCATGTGTCGGATTTTCAACATTCACGATAAACGAATGTCCGTTGATCGTGAACATCCTAATAACAATTTATTTACGATACATTAACTCCATTCGCGTTGTTTTGCACTTTTTGCACTTAATATCTTCATTTTTTTCTTTTATTTCATTTATTTCACTTTAAGTGCAAATTTTTTTTTTAATTTCAAGTAACACGGTCAGATTCATTGGTTAAACATTGCAATGGGAATACTATTGGACTAATATTTAGACCAATATAATGCTTGGACTGCTCTCAATAAAGACACCAAAAATTAAAATAACTTTATTTGATACTTAACGATAATAAACAGTCAATTTTATAACAAAAAAATCATTATTTTGATTTTCATGACGTCAAAATAAAGTCACTTTTACTTTCTCTTGAATTTATATGTTATGTATTTCTTTGTTGTATTTCTTTAATTGGAATACTGTATCAATAATTGTATTACTACGGCACCATATGCTGATTAATAAGCACACTTGTATTTCGGACACTTCGAATTTTATCTTATCGATCTTTTGCGATATATATAACCTGATCTTATATATAGCCTTATCCAAAAATAATAGGCTTCTTATTTGAATCATTATTTGAAATTTTTACTCAAAAATTGATTTATATTTACTGCAAATTATCCATATTGTAAGTTTCAAGAATCCTTTAAACTTATGTATAATACTGACATGCAATAATGCATAAAAAAATTTCAGATAAATAAAACATTTAAATGCCTAATATTTTTATCCAAGGCTGTATTTAAAATTAAACGACAAGCTTCGGATGATAATCTAGAGATTATTTCCTGGTTAATGAAATAATCTATACAATGTGTCGAGTTATGAATACTGTTTACACATCATCGTGTGAAATATTCGTCACAAAGCACAAAGGGCTAGTTAAAGGGATAACGACACGTGACTCACCCTTTATTTTGATAAGCTTCTCACTCGTTACGCTGTCACTGCTCCAACGCACTAACGACACTGTCGCGGTGGCGTATTTTTCGTTTATCGCTGGTATCATATTTTTAGCCAGTACATTATATAAGTGCACGTGGATAAGCAGGTAGTCGAAGCATGTCATCTCCTTCGCTCGCTTTACAATATGCATCTTGCCTGTGTTACATACTAACAAACAATGATAATTAACATGCACTCTTTCTCTTTTTTTCTGCAGTTTATTATGTAATTATGTTATATTTTATTATATTTCATTTAAAAAATACAGCAACTTAACTTTAATATATTCAACCTATTTTCTTATTAATTATTATATAATATTGACGTTGTTGATTTTAACAAATTATCAGACATATACAAATTCTTTAGCAACAATTAATTTTTTATTTATAATTACATATACAAATTTACAGTTTTATCAAGATTTTTCTACAAAACTCAATAACAACATTATATGCAATATCTTAATATTAATGGCCGATATTCATACTCGATTTGTTTTTATATTTTAGTCTTAAGATGTCAGAAATCAATAAAGAGGGGCGTTTCTTAAGATATTACATAAGACGACCTTAAAACGATCTAAAAATAAAAACCGACACTGAATACTGGTCCATAAATTATTAATTATAACAAAAACATTTTACATTCTTAATATGTTCAACAATTAAACTTTCACTTGAATGTGCACAACCGTAGGAAGTCATTCGTCATTATATAATTCCTATTCTTCATAATTGTCAATTTTTTCTCAACCAGAAATATATTATTTAACTGTATTTCTTAAGGAACTTGATGTGGAATTGCTTCAGTGCTTCGAGCATTGTTTTAATTTTCTTCTTTTCCGGCAGTATCGTAGTACGGAAATGATTCGTACCAGGTATCTGACCGAAGTACGAGCCCGGGAGTACTAAAATCCCAGTGTTCTCCAATAATTCGAACGCATAGAAGACGTCTGGTTCTTGGCCTTGCGCTCGCGCTGCCTCAATCGCCTTCGAAGGCAGCTCGAAGCGTGGAAACGCGTACATTGCACCCATCGGCGGATTCGCCTGGAAAGAAAAAAAAAATATTGTAAAAATATCGAATAACTTTTATTACCTATTTCGCGAAAGGATAGTTACCTTATATCCTGGAATACTATTGAGTATTTCATCGACAAGTTGCGATTTCTCTGCAAATGAACGCAGGATTTTTTCCTTCTCCTTCTGGAACAGCTCGTACGATGGCTCATTTGATCGCGGTGGAGTCACTACAACATCTAACACAATCTGGCCGAGTACAGTAGGATATATCATAGAAATCGATTTTAATAACACCTTCATCACTTTCGGATCCATGTTGATGATTTCAGCATAACCGCCACGGATCCCACATTCACCCATATATCCTAAAACCGAAATGCTTCAACATGGATTGCTTCTGAAATTTCCCGAAAAATCTATTTATGGATTTAACTTCTAACTAAGTAACTACACGAACAGAATTTTCTGTTAAAATTTACTCAAAAAATATAGTAATTGTTGTAAAATTAATCAATTATTTTATATTTTATTGTAATTTTATTAATGAATGAGAGAGATTTACATTAAAATTCTTCGAAATCTAATGTTGTCTCATGTTGTTGACTATCATATTTTTATGGTAAACTCTAAGAAAAAATTCTCTCCATGTAGTAATAAAAATCTTTTCAAATCAAATATTGATGTTCGGTATTTTGACTCAATAAAATTTCGATTATAATTCAACATCTGTCTTGAAAGTTTAATATATTTTAAATAAATTACTCTTCGCGATTTTTAACGAATTATGTTCCGATTCCCGAACTCTTTTTCGCGCACCTTTCGAGATGGACATAAACGATGCAAGTTCCATCTTCGAATACGGTTCGCCCATTTCTGTCATGACCTTCTTGAAGGAATGGAACGCGCTGTCTTTGTCATATATATTATTCTGATAGACTTCGTCAGCCAACAAGAACAGATGATGTTTATGGGCGAAGCGGATGACATTTTCGATGTTCTTGTGAGTCAATACTTGGCCAGTTGGATTACCGGGATTGATCACCACCAGCACACGAGGATTACATGTATCCTCGACTTTTCTTAATGCTCGTTCCAATTCGCTGACTTCTAGCGACCATTTATTGCCCTCATTCAGATAGTATCCGATCTGAGCGAGACCAAACTCCGCCAGAGTCGCCGAGTAGAGAGGATATTGCGGAATTGGGATCAGCACGCCGGATGGTTTGTCGTCGATCCTTTCGTTGAATAGATTCAGAAATGACTGGAAAAAAATCACACAAGCATGAAGTAAAAGAAGACAAAATATAATTCCCTATTGAAAAAAAAAATCACGTCATAAAGTTGATCAGTAATTAATTACAATGAAATCATGTAATTAAGACAAATCACGTAACGAATTATTTCAAATCAATATGTGATTTTTAAAATCACGTTATTTGAAAAATCACATGATATTAGAAATAATTTCATCCATCATGTGATTTTATAGTCAAATTTTCAAGAATTGAATAATAGAAATAGAGAAGAAAAAAATGTATCATATGATTTTTCAAATTATGTCACTTAAAAAAAAATCACATAATGATGGAACAATTTGTTATGTAATTTATTTGTCTTAATTACACGATTTCGTTATGCGACTTTGTGATGTGATTTATTTCAGAAAGGTTAACAACTGTTATCTTATCAGTCTGTTCAAAATATCAAAGTTTAAAATGCCAATTTCAATTTTGTATAATATGCATCGTAAGTGCATGTAAAAGTGATTGATTTAATATATAAATATGTATTATTCGTATAAAATACTATTTATGTTCATTATTATGAAAAGTTCAAAATTAAGAAAAAATAAACTGGAAAAGTAATATTGCAACATGTAATTTTGTGTTTACGGAGTAGATTACTTTTAAATGACGTTTCAAATAACAAGAAGAGGTCCTTGAAGTGTATGTACCTTGATGCCAATAGAAGCACCGTTCGAGAGGATAATATTGTGATAATCGCAGGGGATATCGCCGTCGCGTTCCTGAATGTATTGCGCAACGTGTTGGCGAATACACTCGATGCCTCTGGTCTCTGGGTATGAGCCTACGCTGCCGCCATTGCAATTTCCCAGGATCATCCGGGCGCGATTTTTTGCATCTTCCGGGTATTTCGGATCGTTGAGCAAATTCGGCGAAACCGTCAGGGTAAGCACTTGCCGCAGAAACGTGATAGGCTGCTGACCCATCGCGTGGGCGTCGCCAGTATTCACTTTGATCACCTCCTTGAAGGGTTTTTCAACGCCCTGCAAAAAGAAACGATTTTAGGTCTAACGATCTTTGTGTTTAATTTTAAAACTTTTTCAAACTTTATGGACTATAAGCTACCCAGATAGCACAAAGAGTTCAAAAAGAATTCAATGATATGTCATCAATTCTGAATTCATTTTCAGATGCAAAAGGAATTCTTTTTCTAAAAAAAATTAATGACTCAGAATTGATGATATATCACTGAATTTTTTTTTAATTCTTTGTGCTATCTAGATACAGACTATAAGTTTTATATATATAGGAGTACAATACAAATCTAATTTACATCTAATGAATACATTCTAATGGAAACAATCTATATTTCATTTGCACCGAAGTAGAACTGAATGGAGGGTTTAGGTGGAAACTAAACCAATTATAAATGGAAAATAATAAGGGTTTCCAACCTTGAATATAATATCTATCTATATTGATACGCGTTATCTTACATTCACGCATTAATTGTTTGTTAATGTTAGGTAAATAGTTTGTGCACTATGAATTGTTTTTATATTATTACTTGCGAACAAATTAATTTGATTACATGTTTATTTAATTAAATGTTATACGCTATATTTGAATTGTTTTCATTTTAGTATTTACGAAAGAAATAATTTAATTAAATATGTTTATTGACTAAATATTTATATGTTAATATAATTTGGATAATTTGGATTGCGCTCATCTATATTTTATTATTTACTTCTTTCTCTGTATTTTGTTTATATTTACTATATCTACCTTTTTTGCTATAGTATTTTAAGTCGTGAATTTTGGGACACTCTGTATATTATTTCTTTTTTTAGACATGTACTAAAGCTGATTCAATTCTGCTCTAAAATGATATACGATCCTTGACAAATGACTTGTTCCGGCTCATTTTATTCTTACTTTTTGTAGCTCTTTTTCGATTTCCAGTGCCCTGATGAACAGCGGCCCGCGCACCGCGAACTCCATTTTGCGAAGGTTCACGAAGACATTATCCTTAGTGAGGACCTTATCGTACGGGTTTGACGTGTTCACCGTCGCCGTCACTGCGTTCGATGCCATACTGCGACACAAAATAATCGGCTGGAATGCATCGATGCAGAAGACTCTTGTGTATCCAACATCCCTACCCCTCGCCATCCCGATCAGCACCCCATCCCCAGACAGAATAAAAGTCATAAGAATATTTTATAATTTTCTTTATCTTTTAAAAGTGTAATAGAAATACACAAAAATGATCTAGAAAAGAAATCGTAGGTATTATTTTTGCTGTATTATAATTAAGAATGTTTCTTTCTTGTTTCTAAAATATTTAATATAGTATTGAAATAGTGTAGATAAAAGAAAAATAAATTATAAAAGATGACTATAATATATATGTAATCTTATTGTAATCTTATTGTGATTTTAAGATTTACTGTCTAAATACTATTTTTTCTTAAAATATTTATTGCATCCATGTAAATTAATATTTGAATATGTCTGATATTTCTTTTTTTGTACAGAAATGTTTCTTCTTCTGAATCTGATCATCAGTTTTCAATTTTACATTCAAAAAGTTAGAAAAAAATTATAAATTGTATTAGATAGTCATATAGTATGCAATTATTTATTCTAAGATTTTTAAGATTTTTATTCACACACATTCTATAAATTCTAAAAAAAATACCTTAAACTTTTTTTTTATATAAGATTTTATAAGAAATTATAAAATAAAAAATCTTTTAGAAATCAAAATATATTTCACAATTTATATATATAAAAAAATTCTTAAAAACAATGTAAACTTTCATGAAAAATGTTGCAATATGCATAAAAAAATTTGAGGAATTTTTAAAAAAATTATAAAATATGAC